CATAGAAAACATATTTAAATTAATTAAATATGCAATTATAAATTAACTGAATGTAATAAAATTATTATTTATACCTTCATTAGATGAAATTCCGTCGTCCGACATCTATCAAGAATCACAATACGATAAGTGATGTATGAAGTTGTAAGTACACGAGTACAAGTGATGGGGGACATGGGCACTGTCCCCCATCACTTGGGTCACTACCATACTGGTTAATCAATACAGCACCACGTCCACCATTAACTAGAACAGCCCCAGATGTCAAGAGGGGGGGAGCACACTGGTGCCTCGCTGAATTAGTATGCATTGATTATATATATAAATACAGTGTCTTATACGTCGTTCAAGATACATATTACATGATTTCCTACGGTGACCTTGATAACAATTATAATTACACGCACAAACTATAGTTACATTGAATAATACTTTCACAATATATAAATATACTTCGAAATACGTTGGACAGTCACCATATGACTTTATTAAAATATGCATGTAACTACGAACACTATATATTGGGATGCATGTGATATAACAATGATTATATGCATTGCATATATATGCAGTAACTAATTAATATAATACAGGGTAAATATATAACAGTATGCGGTTCAGGATACGTTAACATATAGTAGAGAATACAGTAGTCGTAAGCATACAGAAATAATGTCAAATAATTAACGATATAGAATGAGCCATTCCCCCCGTCCCTAAGGCGAACAAATTAATAATGATTATTAGCATGCGCAATAGTTTGTATCACAATAGTTAACAAATATTCTTGGCATCAGTTATCCTCAGGCGGTATTCGGAAATTCAAACACCGACCGCATAGTGTTCTGGTAAGCAAAGCATATATAGAATTTAATCTTTCTTCCAGCAAACTAAGGGATACTACTTTCGATTCCAAGGAAATGATATAACTGTTTGCTAACGACAGGAACACTATTCCTAGAAAAACAGTGCTTATGTATAATTTGCCAGTTTCATTTTGCACATTTCTCTAACGAAAGAACGGTGCGTAAGATATGAGAGGAACAAGTAAAATACAGATACTGCTGAAGTATTTTTTGAACAATTCTACATAAGAGCTAACTTAAATAAGCCAAGCGTAAAAATTAATTCGCGCCAGCTTTTATAACGAGAGATAAATTACGTCTTCTGCAATCAAAATGTTTATCAACTCAAAATAGCAAATAAATAAATTTTGGACAGAATAATTGTGTTTTTACAATTTCTAATTTTTTTTTCATTTTTTAATACAAGAACGTTTTAAGAATCTTAGAATCAAGATATCTCAGAGTACGATAACGTCTAAGTTACGTTTTTCATAACAAAGGAAAAAACTGATAATCACTGTTCTCTGAAGCATATGTTTACGAGCTGTAATACCGTCACAACTCGAAAAATAGCAATTCTGAGTCATTGCTGTTCTCAATCTTGTAAAATTGCCTTCTTCGCGACAGCACGTATTTTAATTTAGTACGCACTAACAACAGTGTATTATGCTTTCTTTTGACAATAATGTCTCTCTTGCAATCTTTGGTGTTTCGCTTACATTGGCTGCATTACTGACCCTCCTCTGTTTGCACCGGATGAATTAACTGATCAAAGTGATAAATTTTTATTGTAAATACTAACAACAACACTCTACATTCGAACGACATTTTTGTAATGAAAACTGAAAAGTCATCATTCTGTTATTTCTTCTATAAGACTTCTTTTAAAGAAACAGGTTTTAAAACTGCCAAAGCCTTCAGATGCAAAAAAGAAATTCCACTTCTTTTCAGGAAGAAATACTGGAAAAAACTTATGACAAACATTTGGAAGTATTTAAGAAATGTAAGGGTCTATGATTTTAATCGCAAGCAATGCAATACAAGCTGTTATTCAGAATTTTAGATCAGTCTAAAATTTGAATCGTAAATATAGATCGTCCTTGGATAATTTTCACTTTCTTTCGTATTTTGATTAATGATGTAGTGCCGAAACGTTAAGAATACCATTTTATAATTTTGTAGTACATGTCACAATGTAGTAACGTTATTGATAAAACTTAAAGTACTGACATACTATTTCCTGGACCATCAAAGCTGGATACCTCGAAGAATGAAATTTGACAAAAACCCACCAAAGCTGTGCTAATCGTTATTGTGGAATTCTGAAAGCTGGTTTGGCTTATTTAGTTACGGCAAAGCACTCGAGGGCTATCTGCCTGAGGGATGCTGTCGTGGAGGAATTTCTAAAGAAAGACTCGAATACAATCATACACGGAGATAACCACGAAAATATCCATGCAGCCAGCCTGTTCATCCGGCAAAACCGAGACCAAAATATTAGCGCTCAGCGATTTTACTACTCGGTCGCTGGTGGGCCTAAATTCTGAAGGAGCTGAGACCATTTTATTTAACAAACAATCAGTATTCGACCTGCGTTGTATTTAAGCTTCGAAAAAAGGCTTTCTTCGATTTTTACTTATTTGTTCGGTCCTACGATTTTACTGGAAGCTCTGCTTAGGAAGCTATGAATACAAACTTTCTACGGACAATTTTTTCAACCTGTTTTGTCGGCTATATTCAGCTGACCATGCCATTTTCATTAACCCACCTTATTGTTAATGGCAGGATCCCGTAACTTTGAAAATAATCCACTGTTTGCTGTTTTGTAGAAGGCAAGTCCCAAATTTTAATAATTTTTTTTTTCAAAGTGCACGGGGAAAAATCCAGTTAAATTCAGTTAATCAGGAAAATAACAGCTAATTTTTATTTTTGTTCATAAAAACAAAATGTGACTTACTGATAATTAATCAGTGTTATATGAAGCGAAAGTGAGATGTTATAAATGTGTTGTTGTATCACGCTTATCCATAACTAGTGTTAAGTGGCGCTGCTTTGTGATAGTTACACGGTCGATTGACTAATACGTAACTAGAAATCATAATTTCTTGTGCATAAATTCTTTTCATTATTATAAGACTTGAATTTTCAGCATAGATCTACATAATATAAAGAAAATCTGATGTGGACACTTAATAACTTTCTTATACAGCCTATTAAATTAAACCTACGTTTCGCAGCACTTCATTTAAAGTTATTTCCCCAAATTATTCTAACTAAATTAGGTCTGGTTTGGTTTGGTTTGATTTATTTAATTATAGTACAACATTCAAGGGCTAATTGCCTAAGGGAAGGTAAAGGTAAAGGTAAAAGTATGGGGGACACCAGCGATGTACCATAGGTCAACTGGTAATGCCATACGAACTCTTTAAGAGAAAAAAAAAGGGGGGTTAATTGCAAGTTTTATAAGAATTTGCATAGACTGAAGCTTTTCAAAAGGTCTAAAGTTTGCCTATTATGGTACATCGTGCAATTCCACAGTACGCCCCGCATCCAGTATTTATTAAAAATAATGGTGTAGAGCATAAGTAGATTACAAAATAGTAGAAATACAATTTGAGATTCACAAGATAAATTGAACATCTGATTTGGTGCAACAAAATAGGAGATAAACATAATTAATAAACAAATAAACATAATGAGATAATTATAATTAGTACTGGCAACACAATGTTAAATGAATTGTTATAATAATGCTAAAGAGGTAGGTGTCCATGGGTTATTTCAGATATATTTGTTTATTGGTGGAGGGTTTTCTAAGGAAACCTGGCTCGAATACACGCTACACACGAGGAAAACTACCGAAATGTCCATGAAGCCAGCTCTTTCGAGGGATTCGAACCTAGGACCTGACTATCAATATTCAGCAACTTTACCGCTCGGCCGCTGGTGGGCCCGAACTTAATTAATCGATCTCTCGAGGCAAGTTGAAAATGGCTTGTCCTACAGGGGTCAAACTTCTTGTGACTCTTGTATGATGCCCAAGCCTTTTACCAACAACAGGCGCAATCTCACCTCTTTCCCAAGTTTAATTTCGTGGCTTTGTTCCTATACCACACAAGCGAGATTAGTGACAACAACAAACACATGTGTGCACAAAATTTGGTGGCTTCTAGGTGCCGCCGTGTTTTCCACATATATGCAGTTTTTTTTTTATTTAATAAAGAAAATTAAGAAGGAAGGGAAAAATGGTAGATTAAAAATACAGATGAAAGATTTATCGTAGAATTCTCCTTTCAAAAATAAAATGTAAAAATATGATTTAAATGACCAGATTTGAATCCCGTTACTGGAAACGCCATTACAAAGGTAAAGAAATAAATCAACTTTTAAAGAATATTTCTTGTATAAGTAGAAAAAGTTCCTCTGGAAAAAAAAAGGAATTGATGAAAATAAAATTAAATCTGTTTTTCTGCTACCTACAATTTCAATACTGAAATTTCTCCCTCAAATGTTTTTTCCAATAAGCACTTAGTTTTGTCAGCCGAATAATTTACAGAATTCCTATACAGCATATTCAGTGTCATGAGTTGAATTGTACTCGTATTTAACAGCAAACAAACTTTACCATTCATTTAGTGTACATATAGCTTTAAACCACCATACATTCCCCCCTTTTTTTCAATACTCAATAGATTTTCCGCAGTCTAAATGATTGAAGTTTGAAAATTTGCTATTGTGGTCAAACCGGACACTGGATTATTTATTTAAAATGCTCACGCTATATAAATCTCTTTTAAAGTTTTTCCAGAAGTCGTTTACTATATATGCAATTATTCGCATTTCCTTTCTTTTTATCGTTTGCAAATTAATACGTTTGTAATGAATGTATAATTTGTTTTTAACTTTAGTGATTTCTCAAAACGTTAAGTATAATTGAGAAAAAATTATGTATTATATATTGTTTTCACAAAGAAAAACTTAAACCAATATTTCTAAAGATATTCGAAGACTAATACTGGAATGTATGAAATGTTACGCAATTATTGCTGGATGACAAGAAACCTCAAGTTTGACTTCACAAACTGTTTTATTAAATACGTGTATTAGATCCTTATTCATCTCAAAAGTGTTACATACGTCTTAATTCCATTGCAGAAAGATGACAAAATTAGAAACAGACGAAGATCCTGATTTGGAGGCATTGCCTGTGGGAAATGATACTCACATCAAAATTCGCACGTCACGACCGCACAATAGAACTACAAACTGTAGATGTTTAAGTATGTATCTCGTCAGTATGTATCAGTATGTATCAATTACTCTTTGTTTTATTTCTAGAACTTACCTCTTTATGATTTTTGATGCCATTTATAAAACGTTCGGGTGAAGTTTGTCGTGGTTTCCTCCCCCCCCCGAAAATCATATAGATTATTTAAAATTAAAGCATATATACAGGATTTTATGGTTCAGAAAAACAGCATCAAAGAACGTTTTAAAATTATCGCATACATTACTAGAAGAAAGTAACGAATCTCCTAGTGTGATGGCATATAACTTTGAATGCTTGTCTGCTTGCTTAAAAGATTATTGTCATAGATTTAAAAATTCTCTGTATATACAATAAAGCTTCATAATATAATTTATTGACATAAAGGAACATTTCTCGGCAAGCCTTATAAAATCTTTAGTACTACAGCAATGTCACATAACTTACTTGTTCTACGTGTCCTTTTTTCTGCATCTTTTTCGTGCAGGACGAAAGGCAGGTTTGGGTGGATGTAGGCTAGAGTTGTCCATATTCACCCAACCCTGCATCTCCACTTAAGTAATTTTCTTGAACATATAATTAAATCTCAGATGTTCGCCATTGACGCTGCTCTTGTTTTAAAACCAAGAGAAGTTCACTAATTTCGTCATCTACAAGTACGATCATAGACCTAAGTTTACGCCAATAGCGAAGAAAGGTAATGTTCCGTATATCTTTCCAAGCATGAGACAAATATGGCTTCTTTCAATGTGAATTATTTCCGAAAATCATTGATCTTTCGAAGTTCACATGTCGATGTATAAAAAGAATCGGTAGTTCGTCATAATTTTTTTGATAATTCTTTGGTTCATAAGGCTGTTACGCTTATTCACTCAGTGAACTAAAGGCAAAATGCAATAAAGGCATAAATTAAGGTTTAATTTAGACCTTCAGTATTATATACCTTCAATATAGTCTTCGATACTGCCAGTTTCGAGAGATTTTACTGTGTATGGAAAAATAACATCTTAGGTAATCAAATTATGATTTTAATTTTGTAAACAGTAAAACGCTTTTTTTGTATAGCATGTTTAATATGCAAAGAAAGAACATTTTAATGCATCTGCTAAACGTGAACAGACAAAATTGTTTTAACTGCATATTACTTAACTGCAGTAATTAGGAAGAAATATTCAGTCAGTAATTAATTAGATTAAAAGAAATATGACGTGAAAGAATGTGCACATCTTGAGCAGTTGTAATCAGAATAATGTCTGGTGTTAATATTGGTAAGTTTTGAGCGAGTTTGTTACTTTTTTATATCTCATTTTCATATATTAATTTTTTAATTTTTATTATATCTCTACATATGTTAATATTCATAAATATAGATCGTTAACTGCAAAATCATTATATTACAGCTTTAATAATTCTTGGATGATTAACGTTTCTTTAAGCTGTGGATTACATCATATTTGTTTCATTTTTTTCATGCATTTGTATTTGAAAATATTTTGAAATGATTATTATTCAGAAAATGTTGTTATTAATAAGCACAGGCTAAAAGTCGATTAAGCTAAGACAACTTAATGAACGGTTTTAAGATCGCAAAACGACCTTGAGTTCTGCTTTCCATTTCAAATGAGCTCATTTAAATTTTTCTTATTCGCGGTTTTTTTTTACATCAGTGGTGACAGAGATAAGAAAATAATATGTTTAAATTATATATAATCATACGGCTTCATTTAAAACAAATGTAAATGCTAAACTGGGATCTGACAAGCATATCCATCAGATCGTCTTGATGATACTTTAAAGAAATACAGTCTATTAAATATGAATTTATTATAGTATTTTTTTGCTATTCTTTGATACATTGAAACACTTATTTCAAAATTAATTTACTTAAAATCTTTACTCATTAAGAGGATTTTTAGTGTAGCCTTTTAGCTAATGCTAGTTACTTCAAAAGAATGGAATAACAAATACTGGCACTAATTGGCCCTTGTAACAATTAACGTAATGTTTCAATGAATGCTAGTGACTGCCAAAGATTGGATTGGAATGGTAATTTTGGCACTGGTTGGTGTACCTTTATTGATTAACAACTTCTGGCAGTATTTACGGCACTCTTAATAATTCCAACCATTAAAAATCAGAGTTTAATTTTTAGAATAAAAGCTTGATCTACATTAAGCATTAATTCGAGTATAATCTCACATACAGCCGGACAATCAACCGGCCTTCAGCACTGCTATGATTTTTACGCAACAAAATATCTAAATCATTAAACATACACGTATATATATATATATATATAGCTTTATATACATGTATGTTTCCGTGGAAGAACAAAATCTGGAGGAAGTCGATATTTACTCATGAATTTCAACATTCACATAGTCGCTTGGCTAAGTATTTTTGTTACGTTTGTAACTCGCGCTTTATTATATGATATGTGTCAAAATATAGGAAAGTTTAAGTAACAAAACATGTAAGTAAACTGTTGAATTCAAAACGAACAGAACGTTCTGAATTAGAAAATAAAATAACGCCAATAATAAACTTACTTAATTACGTGACTGTTGTTATGTAATCATATTTTTGCAACATTTTAAACTGCGCAAGAGTCTCTTGTTTTTACAATGTCCCTCTTCTGTCTTCTCTGCTTTTTGTTTCGACCTCCACCAGAGCAAAAGCATATCATTGCTTATCGACATATATCCTAATCCTAATAGTCTCTGATATACTGGTACAGAATCACATTAGGATTTTAACCAGTTCATTTTGCATATGTCTTAGGCCAATTGCGTATATAAATAAATCAAGGCGCGAACGCACCCACCCGAAGGCGAATATACTGCAGCCGTGGAAGGGGAGTCAAGGTTTTCGTGAAATTAAGTTGCATGAGTTCTTGACTTATACCAGTGACAGTCGAATATATAAAAATATAACCAAATATTCGGTCTTTCACCCACGAATTTGGTATGTGTTGGCATTCACCGGAGAATATCGACATCCTCCAATTTTTTATCTTTTGTGTTAACATACGTAAGTTACCTGAAAAGTAATGAAACGCTGGCATTCTATAGAATACCTGGAGTTTTCAGGCATGAAACGGCATTAAAGTACGAAATATCTGAATTATTATATACTTTACTTAGGCATTGTATATAATACCTAGACATTCTATAGAGTAACAAATGCTATTCAAAGTATGAAAAAATGGTCATGATAACGTTGTTATTTAAAAGACGTTGATTCATTGAAAATACAAATGTTATTTTGAAAAAATTATCAAAGTGCGTCATTAAAAAACTTTTATATAACTTACATAAAGAAAAATGAAAGCTACACGAAACAAAATTTATGCCTTACTTATTAAAGAAAACAAAATTTTCATATAAAAAATAAGAAATTAAAATTAATCTATTTGTTGCAACATGGTATAAGGTCCTAATGATATTTTGCTTGAATGACACCTCTTTACTTTTTTTACACAAAGACATTTTACATTTGGCACTTTGTTTCACACATACGTTTGATGACTCCTTGTCCGCTTCCAGTAGACTAATAATGTAACTGATCTGAGAGGAATTTCTTACAATTCTAAGAAAGCTCTTCGAATGTAAAATGATCTGTGATCACGTATATAATTTTTTTAAAATTCTTTCATAAGTTCCAACTCGGTAGAAACTATCCTCTGTTACATTCATTACAACTATGAATTTACTGCACGAATTACACTGGTTATCATTCATTAAGGAAAAATCGCAAAAATGATGATTACTCAAAAAGTTACACGTAGAATTTAATGAAACTGACCCACAGTATACAACATATAGTAAAGTATAATATAACATGTAAGGAAATTGTCAGGCATTTACAGTGTACATAAATTAGGTGTATAAAATGAACAAATCGGATATGCTGGTTTGGTATAGGAAAATTACCTTCAGTATTGAGTATTATCTCCCTAACAGCAATACAACACATACAGCGATGTGAAATGCTGTCAATTATGCAGTCTATCAGCTCCACAGAAAGTGAGAGCCATTGATCTTGCAAAGCAGTTGAAAGCGTGACAAGGGTCTGAAGAGGAGGCATGACAGCAGCTCTACATCTTCCTAAAGCAAAGATCATCTGCTCGTTAGGATTCAGGTTTGATGATCACTCCATGCGCTGAATTGTTTGCTACAGAAGATAATCATCAATTATGGGATTCTAGCGTGGATGACTCATCCACTATCCAGGACGCAATGCTAAACTTGAACGGTCTAGCATTGTGTCCTGTAGCAGGAAATCATCACCTATTGCCCTGGCATAAGAGCACATATAAGCATCAAGAAAGTCATCTCTATAGACCGAAACATTCACGGTTCCACGTGGAAAGACATGGAAGTCTATACGTCAACCCAAAGAGATACACCCCAAACACAGACACTGCCTCCTCCGTATGTATGTCTTTCACAGATATTTGATGGATGATAACAAATTCCAGTTTCTCTCCAAATCAAATAACGCCTTCTTTCGCTTTGGAGGATAAACCTGGACTCATCCGTAAAGGCAACAGTCTTCCAATGATTAACTGTTCAGTGGACTGACATAGCCACCTCAAACGTCCGCTTCTGTGATGTGACGTAAACGGCACACACATGGCTGGTCGCCTCGAGTGCAGACCTTCTTCGTGAAGCCTTCTATGCACGATTGACGTTGATGCCAACCTTCCAGTGCTGTAGCAAGGGAGGATACGAGTCGGAGTTGAGGTTCTATTTCTTCGTATGCATAACAACAGATATGGGTCATAAGTGCTCGTCTTAGCTGTTAGCCGTCCTTGGCTGAACCTCTTAGATGTCGAATTTGTTAGAAATTGTTATTGAAGTCTATGAATCGCAAAAAGACTCACAATTCAGCATCTAGCCACTTTTGTTCTGCCTCCGGCCTCCCAATAGCTCTCCATTGCAGTTCTTGGGGGCACATGATGTTTGGAGATCATGTGCCCCCAAGAACTGCAATGGAGAGAGCTATTGGGATTACAAACTGACTATCCCAAATTTCTTATTTCAGTATCATAGCAAAATTTACAGGCTTGCTCTGAAACGTGAAATTTTATGCTCCACGCAGATGACGTATTTCTGACTTCTTATATACTTTATACCCAAAAAACGTGAAAAAAATTAACTAAAATGAAAAGGTTTTCATTAAATTTAAAGAATTTTTAAGAATTTCTTAAATTTTTTAAATTATGATTTTGCATCAATATAGCCTCATTTAATTATGTTAAAATTAAAATTAAAAATAATTGCGTTTGGTTATTTTCTTTTTCAATTCTTTCAGCTATAATTCAGAAATGTGGCTTTGTTAAAAATTTTTTTGGTTCTCCTTGAGCGAGACCAAGGAATTATCAACTGCCGTTTATTATTTGGTAACTATTTTTAATATGTAATGATTATTGTTTTATTTTTATGCTTATTAACTAAGTTTTATATTCCAAATATTTGTTGCAGTTGCTTTTAATTTATCTCTCTTGTTGATGTTAGATAATTTATCGCTCTAGGATGATATGCATTAATTCTGTATATTATATCTCTTTCTTACACGGGGTTACAGCCGAAAACACCGTTCACGAAAACGTCGCGGAGAAAACAAGGCGAAAACGTCGTGCTACAAAACATAGTGAAAGAAAACATCGCAAAAAGAAAACATCGTGGGAGAAAACATCGCAGTTCTAAAACATCGTCGTCGAAGATAAAGCGGTTCAAAAACTTCGCAGTTTAAAAACATCGTCGTCGAAAATATCGTGATAAAAAATAAAGTATCTACAAATCATCGCATGACGATAACATCGCAGACATGCTTTTTTTCAGGCTTTAATAACTGTAAATGGATATTCTCATAATGATTTGTGAGCGCAAGATGGAAAGAAGGATAAGTTTTACTTTCATATTTTTATTAACTAATAAATTTTTGCTGAGAAAATAAGAAGGAAACGTAAGCATAAAAATTTAATGCAACTTTATAGCACTTAATAGAATTTTAAACCGACATAGGTAAGTAACAAAGGCCATTAATAAATCATTTTTTATAAAGCTTTTACTGGTAATTTTTCATGAAAAGTATAATCTATAAGTTGCATTTAATTTTCTATGCTTCTTTTTCAGCAAAAATTTATTAGTTAATAAAAAAATGCGAAAGTAAAAATTATCCTTCTTTACATTTTGCGCTGACAAATCATTATGGGAATATCCATTTACAGTTATTAAAACCTGAAAAAAGCATGTCTGCGATGTTATCGTCATGCGATGATTTGTAAATACTTTATTTTTTTACCACGATATTTTCAACGGCGATATTTTTAAACTGCGAAGTTTTTGAACCGCTTTATTTTCGACGTCGATGTTTTGTATCACGATGTTTTAGAACTGCGATGTTTTCTCCCACGATGTTTTGTAGCACGACGTTTTTGCCCTGCGTTGTTTTCTCCGCGACGTTTTCGTCCGCGATGCCATCGGCGGACACCCTTACACGGTTTGCTCAAAAATATCTGGCAAAACTTTAAATGTACTTACGTATTAACGTAACCATTTTGGCGCAATTTAGCGATTTTTTACAGATGAAAAGGTAGAAGTTACTTATCGGGTGCAAGATATTGATTTTCGTGCCTTTCTTCAGGAAGATTTCAAAATTATCGGTAATTCTTGTAAGTGGTCAAAAATTATCAGCATATAAAAAGTCAACATACTTTAGCACTTTAAAACAATTTTTATTTTTAAAAAAGGATTACGTGATACATTAAAAAAAAAACTTACATTCTTATTGAAATTTTTCTGTAAGGTTTTTGCGCTGTTCTTCTTCCGAAGTATACAGCGATGTGCTTTCACTTTCAAAAACATCAGACAATTGCGGAGACTCGGCTTCGTGCAAATCTCGGCAATAGCGGCCTAACTATAAAACGGATTTCGTCGTTGTCTCCTTTAGAAAATTTTCAGCAATCTTCTATATTCCTAGAGAAAATTTACCGCAGTTTCATCCATTACTATTCCACAAGCTCATATTTTAAAACTAAGGCAAAAAATATCATCATTTGTTCATCAAAGCTTTGAAACTTGTAATACAACAAAAAAGAATGCCTACGAAAATGGAGGTGTTGCTTGGCCGAGGGATTGCTATGAGCATGGTTTCTGAAAGAATCGTGATGTTCATGGTTGCCAGAGTTTGGCACATTCTGAAAATTTAGCGTTTTCTACTAAGATGGTTACGTTAATACGTAAGTACCATATTAAAGTTGTTAAAAGGACCAAAATAAACATTTTATGTTATAGAATATGTGTTCAGAAATGACTTGTTTAAGCGCTGGTGAAGACAAAAATGTGAAAAAGAGACCGGTCAAAGGAAATTAAACAAACTTTTTAACTAACGCTGTCTTACAGCAGATGCTGAAATGAGTGACCACCAAGACGAATACAGGCTTCACACTATTGGCGTATGGATGTGGTGCATTTTTAAAGATGCCAGGCATATCCCTAATATCTCTATTATCCAACAGCAACAAACAGTCTGACGACAAGATCTTATTCGGAGTCCATAAGATTTCGTACACTGCGTTTTTCAAGTGATCCCACAAGAATAAATCTGAACATGATAAAACTGGAGATCGCGATGGCCAATTAATAGGTCAACTTCCACCTAGCCAGTGGTTTGCATATGTGCCGTCCTGGTAATTCCTGACATGAGTGCTAAAATGAGAGGGAGCACTATCATGGTAGAACCAGACTCTGCTTTAAATTGCCATAACAATTAAAGGTCATCTACCAACCCCTGAACGCGTCATTTCCAGAAACACATAGTACAACAAAAAATGCTTACTTTGGTTCCCTCTACCACTTTTTAAAATTTTTTCAGATATTTTTCGGGTATCATACACGCTAGGAATAATCTTTCTTTTCTTTAAAACTTTTTTCAGATTTTATTCCAAAGAGATTTATATTTTCATTCATTGGCTTCTTGGCTTCTACGCTAGCAATTTCTCTCAATACCAATCTCAGTCTGGCTATTGTATCTATGGTGGACAGAAGCAATGAGTCTATCATTCATGTCAAGTCATCTAACGAATGTCTTTCACAGGAAATTGAAACATTGCAACTTAAATCGGAAGTAAAAGTAAGATTTTGTATTTTTAAAAACTTTTATGTTCTCTTGAGCAAATAATTTATAAATAATTCATTTAGGCCAGTGACCTCAAACTGAGGCCAGCGAGCCGCATGTGCCCCCCCCGAAGACATTCATATTACGTATTTGTTGCAAATGTGGTGTTTTGAAGATTTGAGTTATTTGAAGTTAGAGTTTATATGATTTTCATTTCCATTAAAAACAAACGTTAATAATCCACCAGAAAATCTCTCTATAAATATAATGAATTAATTTACTTATTCAAAGATTTGAAGGAACAGATTTCATTAATGTTTATTCGTGTTTGTCAAAAAATAAATAAGCTCATTTACGAATTTTTTGTACTAAGAATAATCATTTTATTTCGATGTACACTGCGGGAGAAGAAAAAGGGACAGCTCTATATGTACTGTTCTACTGCGCCGATTGACGAAATTCAACTTGCGTTTTGCATATCTCGAAAGTACGACTTAGGATACTCATTAGATTTATATGCAGAATTGTTCTAATACAGAAATTTTGATACAAAATCGGACTTTTTCTGAAATAACATGTCAATTTTTTCTATATTTCGATTCTATGATCCTGATTATGCCAAAATGCCATGTTTTGTAAATTCGCAGGAATAGGTTTGTAGCTCTCAAAATTTTAATTCCTCAATGTTAATTAATTTAATTTAATATATATCTTTTAATATTTCTTTCTTTATTAAACTTACTTGATTTCTTCTTCCAGAATTCGAAATTTAGGCTTAATCCAAATAAAATTCACCCATTTTTTACTTTCTTGTACGAAGTAAAAAGGAAGTATTGTAATCGCGAAAAGTTTCAGGCAGCATATTTCAACGAAAATATCCATTTTGACCGCTATCGAATGCAATTTAACGATGTTTTTGCGTCATATCTGTACGTAAGGACAGAATAAAATACTGTTTCCTTCAAAAAAATTATAAAACTGCTTTAAAATTAATTCTGAAGAGAATTTTAGTGGCGTCTGTACGAACGTATGTACGTACGTGCGTACGTACGTATCCGCATAACTCAAAAACGAGTAGCCTCAGAACGTTGAAATTTGTATATAGGACTGCTATAACATGTAGATGTGCAACCTCGTATTTTGGTTGCAATCGGCAGCACCAAACGTATATAAATATATTTATATATATATATCCACTCTATTACCCGGCTCAGTGATCTCAGTTTCTTTACTCTTATATGTTTGGTAAATTGAAAGTTTTTGCTTTAAAATGATTGAATTATGTTGTTTTTATCTTCCGGTTAAAGATTTTATGCCTTTAGTAATCTGGTGCAATATTTTTTAGAATTATCAGCAATTATAAAGTTTTAATTGCCGCTAAGACTGTTTTTAATGGCGGCATTGATGTTTACATTTGAAACAGGAGACTAGTGGATTTGTTGCCAATCTAGAGAAACTTAGCTTCGCAAACAACAAAGATAACGCATTCATTTATATTGCCAATTAAATCATGCTTAATTTCTTTCTGGAATTTTTCGAGGAAATAAGCGTTCAGATTTACTTCGTAATTTTTAATATAGATATTTTGAGTTTTTATGTATTTTTGCCTTCTCGCGAAGTGAGAAGTGAATTAATTAAATGAGAAATACTCAATCGTCTGTGAAAAACTGTTTTTGTTTTGTTTGCTTAATTTCTTTTATACATAGTTCTAGCTTTATTATAGTATTTGAATAGAACATGTGTGCAACTATTAGATAATTCTTTAAATGATATACATTTGGAGCATTCTGAGTTACTATAATATGAATGAAATATAATACTAAGTAAACCTAGCGTCAGAGTGTCGCTATGGTAAACGAAGTGAATTTTAAAGAACGCATTTATTCTATTGTGGTTTATGCGCTGTCGGCGAAGTAGGTTTAATCAATCTAATAAGTTTAAAAAAATGCAAGAAAAAATGCGTAATTTAATTATTCCGTACAAGGAAGTCATGTGGTGTACACATCAGATTTTTATTATTTAATTAAAAAAAATTTTAAATTTTTAAATAATTTTTATAAATTTTCGAAAACAATTTTGAATTATAACCTATAAAAGTTTAAAATCATCTTAAAGATGTATTTCTAAGCATACCTGCAACATATTAAAGTTTTTTTTATTCAAATTTTCCTAGGATATACGTGAATTTACATATTGGGTCATTTTGAAATTTGGTATATTTTTTATAAGCGATAATAACGTCAAATGTGGTTTACGCACTTTGTTAAAAATATTTGAAAGTATGAATGATGTCTTTTTTTCCGCCCGTCTACAATGAAAAAAAGAAGGAAAGGAAAATAGGTTGTTATAAATTAAGAAGTTCGGCAAGTGAATTATTTTTGGCGTAAACTGAAAAAAAGGGGGCTAAGATAAATTTTTGAAATTCTCCACAGATTTCGCACCTCATTTTACAAAATTTAATATTTAGGCATAATATGAGTTGTAGGATTCGAAATATGGAAAAAAATTGGCATGCAATTTCAGAAAAAGTCCGATTTTGTGTCAAAATACCTGTGTTAGGATAATACTATATATAAATCTAATATATATCCTAAGTCGCGCTTTTCAGAAATGGAAAACTCAGTTTGAATTTCTTCAATCGGCCCAGTAGAATGGGATATATAGAAATGTCTTTTTTTTTTTTTTTTTTTTTTGCACAGTGTACATTTATACGTGAACAGTTTTTTCTGACAGTTGAAAACTGATAAGAAAAGAACCCGATTGACCGATTAGTATCTACAATCCACGATGAAGGTAATTTCCAATAATTTTTCTCCAAGTCTAAAAACGTTTACAGAATCTAAAAGTCAGTCAGTGTAGAATGCGAAAAAAAATGAGTTTATAGTTATTCACATACGAGCAAATGTACTTTTATTTATGCGCTGCAGAAAAATTTAATAACTAAGAGAGAGCACTGTATTGTCAAGATTTGTCCCACTTGAAAAAGTCTCTGAAATATGAGGTTTTCATAATTTGCTTATTTTTAGTTTAAATTAAAGTAATATATTGTTGCGCGTTTTTTTCTTTTTCTGACACCAGTTGTTACGTTATTTTTCTTCCTTCACATTCGTACGGAGTTTGTAGATTTGGAGTGAATAACGACGACATTTGATGAAGTATCGAAACACACTTTTTTTACCAATATTAATCAGATAGCTCCAAAATCACTTTTACAGTCGTCGAACTGTTATAAACACGCTGACACGTTCAGCGACACAGCCTTCACACTGTCAGGCAATAACGTTGGCGACAGCTTCATTGCAAAGCACCCGAGTACAGCTCCAAACTCTGCTTTGTCGTTCTCGGAACTCCACGTACTCTCGAGACTCTCCACGCGATGCGCTCGACGATACCCAGGAGTATAACTCTCGACTCAGCACAGTCTAAGACAAAACTCGACGATGCACTAAAAGACTCTCTCGATGCACTCGACGACCAACTCGGCGCTAGACTTCGAGACACTCGCTCAATGACTGACTATTAGCTCGCTAGACGAGGCACATACACTCGATACTGCGGACCAGCAGGGTTTATATAGCTTTCGTCTTGTGTTCGGGAGAACATTCTGAGCTAAATTTGGTAAGAATTCGTTCCAGAAGGTTCTCCATCCGTCTATGGCATGTCGCCAATTATGTCTCCAAACGGGCGCTTTCCCGCCAAATGTGGCAACTATTTACATATTTACAGTTACCAACATGCGTTGTGGTGTATTGTGCGGGGTCTTTTTACCACTTTTTCACTTGTAGGATCGTAGTCACACAAACTTCGGAGGGAGTCATATTATAAGTCTATGTCTATATCTATGCTAAGCTAGACAATGTTTCTACATATTTGATTTAGCTGATTTAATTCTCTAAGCTGTTGTGGTTATTGATTTCATGAGATAAAGGGTTTTTTGATCTTTAAAAATGTGAATGATTTCTGCTAAATTTTCTTGCGGGTTTTTCTGCTTAACTTTGTCACAGTAAAGGTTTTTAGGCATTTCTTGATTAGTTTGGCCTGAAGCTTGAATGAATTCGGAGAAGTTATCTTTAGTGAGAATTTCTTGCGGTTTTTCTATCTTTTCTAAATGATTGAATCCTTTTCTATATACCTTACAACCGCGATAAGAAGAAACGTGATTTTCGTGACAGTAAATGCAAGTTCGTTTTTCATCTGTTTTTAATTTAACAGATTCATCATCTGGTTTTAATTATTTCAGAAGTTATAATAGACGACATCTTGTATCTCAGCATGCCAACTTAAAGGTAAATCTGAAGAATATTTTAAGAGGAAATCATCGGAATTCATATTAGTAAACAAGTAATGAATAATTTTGCTACTTAAAGTAAAAAAGCTTTGGAAACTAGTTACCTAATAAGCCTGAGAATTACCAAGATTCGCAGGCTCACACTACCGGAGAAAACCTTATATTACCAGCAGATGAAGATATCATTTTAACATATTCAAAGAAAAAAGCGGCTAATGAACTTAATAATTTCCTGTTATCAAATGATACAGTAAGTCAACGAATTCATGAAATGATAAATTCCATAAAAGGCACACTTATTCAAACAATAAAATACAGTGAGTATTTCGCATTACAATTGGATGAAAGTGCTGACATAACGAACTTTGTGCAATTATTAGTTTACATATGTTTTGAAGATGATAAACGAATTATTGCTAAAGAGTATTTATTTTGTAAATCTCTTCATGGTGGAGCAACTGCAAATGAAATTTTTAAAGTAATTGAGAATTTTATGTCTGAGAATGATATTTCTTGGAACACGTGCATTGCCATATGCAGTTAGAGCTCGGGCTTTAAAAGGAAAACATTCCGGTGGTATTTCTCAGAAAAAGAAAGTCGCATCTGAAACTAAATTTACTCATTGCTCCATCCATCATGAAGCTTTAGCAGCCAAAACAACACCAGAAAACCTGAAAATCGTTTTGAATCAAGCTATGAAAATTATTAATTATATTAAACTAATT